GGACTGCCAGGCCCCAAAGGGGACAGGGGCCCAGCTGGGGTCCCAGGGCTCTTGGGGGACAGAGGTGAGCCAGGTGAGGATGGGGAGCCAGGGGAGCAAGGCCCACAGGGCCTCGGGGGCCCCCCTGGACTTCCTGGGTCTGCAGGGCTCCCTGGCAGACGTGGGCCCCCTGGGCCTAAGGGGGAGGCAGGGCCTGGAGGGCCCCCAGGAGTGCCTGGCATTCGGGGTGACCAGGGGCCTAGTGGCCTGGCTGGGAAACCTGGGCTCCCAGGTGAGAGGGGACTTCCTGGGGCCCATGGACCCCCTGGACCTACTGGGCCCAAGGGCGAACCGGGTTTCACGGGCCGCCCTGGAGGACCAGGGGTGGCAGGAGCCCTTGGGCAGAAGGGCGACTTGGGGCTCCCTGGGCAGCCTGGCCTGAGGGGCCCCTCAGGGATCCCAGGACTTCAGGGCCCCACTGGCCCTATCGGGCCCCAGGGTTTGCCAGGCCTGAAGGGTGAACCAGGCCTGCCAGGGCCCCCTGGGGAGGGGAAAGTCGGGGAACCTGGAACAGCTGGGCCCACAGGGCCCCCTGGGGTCCCTGGCTCCCCAGGACTCACAGGCCTTCCTGGGCCTCCTGGGCCTCCTGGCCCCCCTGGTGCCCCTGGGGCCTTCGACGAGACTGGCATTGCAGGCCTCCACCTGCCCAACGGTGGTGTGGAGGGTGCTGTGCTGGGCAAGGGGGGCAAGCCACAGTTTGGGCTGGGTGAGCTATCAGCCCACGCCACGCCGGCCTTCACCGCTGTGCTCACCTCGCCCTTCCCTGCCTCAGGCATGCCTGTTAAATTTGACCGAACTCTCTACAATGGCCACAGTGGCTACAACCCGGCCACTGGCATCTTTACCTGCCCTGTGGGCGGCGTCTACTACTTTGCCTACCATGTACACGTCAAGGGCACCAACGTGTGGGTGGCCCTGTACAAGAACAACGTGCCAGCTACCTACACCTACGACGAGTACAAGAAGGGCTACCTGGACCAGGCGTCTGGCGGGGCTGTGCTCCAGCTGCGGCCCAACGACCAGGTCTGGGTTCAGATGCCCTCGGACCAGGCCAACGGCCTCTACTCCACCGAGTACATCCATTCCTCCTTTTCAGGATTCTTGCTCTGCCCCACATAACCCGTGGGGGGCCCTGCTGCCCTGGCCTCCTCCTCTTTAGTGGTAGAGTGACCTTTTCAGTTACAAAGAATCTCCATTTAAAGAAAAAAACCAAAGGCTGAACAGAGGGGGCCATGGCCTTGGCCTGAGGAGACTTGACCCTACATGCAGGCTGAGAGTGTTTTTGCAAGGGCCTGGCCTGCATTCCTCTCCCCCAAATGTCTGCAGTGTTGGGGTTGCACCCCTATTCCTGCCCTGCCTGATCTGCAGACAGGGCCCAGGACACTCAGCCTGGCCCGTTTTGAGTCCTGGGTGCTGCTGGGACCTGAAGGAGCTGAGAGGGGGCTGAGCTCCCCCATCCATCCACGTGGGGACCCAGATGGCACCTGCTCAAGGAATGGGGCATGCCTCCCTCATAGTCCTTGGCTGGGGCTCCTCCAGCTCCCCCAGGACCTCCCACACATGACAGTTTTTGTTTCCCTCCAGGGGACAGGGAGAGGAGGGGGACCATCGAGGTGGCGCATGGACACCTTGCCAGCACTGCCACCCCAGTGGTGATGCTGTGGCATCAGGCCTGTCCACAGCAGGTACTGTTGTGTGGCCCTCTCTGTGGGCTCCTGGGGAGGTCAGCTCCCTTTCACTGCTCCAGCCACAGCCATGGGGAAAGGTGGGTTGTGAGGGGTAGGGGCATGGATCTGGGGCAGGACGGCAGCTCTTCCCATCTGTCCCCATTTCCCTGGCTGCCCCAGCTGCTCTGGCTCTGCTTAGCAAGAGGGCAGCCACACAGACCCCTAGGGACTTCCACAGGCCAGAAAGATCAAACTCTGTGAAATGTGTACAAGTGTCTAGCACAGATGGTGGCACAAGGCAGGACTGACAATTAACAAGTGTCCCTCTCTTTCTCTCCTATCACCTGCTGCAGGGGGACAGGGTTTCTCATACCTAATTGTAAGGGGATCCTTGCCACCCCCAACTCATCTCCCCAAGGCAGAGAGCTTCTTGTCTGGCCCTCTGAATAAGGTGCACCCAAGTTCGGGGATGAAGTCTCCCACTTGCTTTTCCTTAATAAGAACCACATGGGGGGGTATATGTGTCTACTATAGGGGTTAATCTGTGAGGGCTTCCTCTTTCTACCCGATGGTTCCAATTTCCTGTTCTAAGCAGGATTAGGGACCAGGAGGCTGAGGCTCTGAGAGAAAGGGTGCCAGTGGGCCCCTTTGGAATGGGGTTGGCTCCCGATGTTTCCCCAGAGCCCCTCTGCAGGAAACAGGATCCCCCTCACAGCCCCTCAGCCCCTAGCTCAAGCTGAGTGGATGAAACTGAGGTTAGTGCAGGGGGCAGGCATATGGACATTCTTGGCCAGGCGAGGAGGACCACTTCCCCAGAGGCTCGAGGCCTCTCCCTCAGCCCTCGCCACGCCAGCCCACTTTCCTGTGCCGGGTGTGAACCTGGGTCACACGATGTGATCTCATTGCACTGCTCCAATTCTGGCCCACTCCAGACTGCCCGTGATGGTAATGGAGGTGACTGCCGACTGCTGACTCGCTGGGCAGCAGTTAGTTCTTCAGGCTCCTTGCCGACCCTCCTTCCCTGCCCACAGCTTCTCCAAATGAAGCGGGCTATTTGACTGCTCACTTTAGCTTTCAGAAGCGAAAACCCAAATCTGCCTGTGACATTTTAAGAAAAGGTTTTTTTTTTTTTGGGGGGGGGGGTTCATGGTTTATTTCTTACTCCCTAACACCCAAGAGACCCAACTAGGGAGTCTCAAGCCATACCTGGTGGGGGTCCTTTGTTTGACCTCCTCCTTCTGCCTGGGTCAAAGCCACCACAATCTGATGTGTTAGGGATGGGTTCTGATCGGCAGAAATTAATCAGCTCCCAAAGGGAGTCCAGGGGACTAAGTAGGGTGCCAAGGGAGCTAAAAAGAGCTGTTTCACAGAGCTGAGCTTCTGCCAAATTTCATTCCTGAAGCCTTTAGGGAGGTGTGGTTGGCGTTTCTGAAATGTTTATGGGATTTGAGTTGCAGGTGTCCACTTAAGCGACTAGCTTTGATAAACAATGTCAGATTTAACTATGAAAAATGCATTACCTTGTGCACTTTTATATTCTGATTCCTCATTTTTTTAAGATTAAGGTTTAAATGTTTTCCACTAGTAATATCATTTCTAATCTGGTATAGGAAACTTAGTTCTCTACATACTTATGTGCCCTGTGTCACAGAAGATTTGGGAAAAATGCACTCGGGAATCAAAGAAAATGGGACTTCTTTTTGAAAAGAAAAACAACAGTATTGACTGTATTGACACAACCTCAATAAAACCTGTTGTATAAAACAGCACTGTGATGAGATTGGCATTGATGCAGAGTGTCTCCAGCTCTGGGCTTAGAGTCCAGGAGTGCTCCTCTACATACTTATGTGCCCTGTGTCACAGAAGATTTGGGAAAAATGCACTCGGGAATCAAAGAAAATGGGACTTCTTTTTGAAAAGAAAAACAACAGTATTGACTGTATTGACACAACCTCAATAAAACCTGTTGTATAAAACAGCACTGTGATGAGATTGGCATTGATGCAGAGTGTCTCCAGCTCTGGGCTTAGAGTCCAGGAGTGCTCTGGGGCTCTTGTGTTTTTTTTTTTTTTTTGAGACCGGCCGCACCCGCAGGAGCACTACGGTGCTCCCAGCGCCACACTCTCCCGAGTGCGCCACAGGCTCGGCCCTCGTGTGCTTTCTCAAGCATGTGTTCCTCAGCAGCCCCCAGCCTAGGGTCTGTCACCACCTCGTCAGACTTGCTCCATGCTCCTCAGCTGCTGAGGCTATGTACCCAGCAAATGCCAAGAGGCATTTTAAGAAACAAAGGCAGGCAGTAGCTAGAGCTGGGGGAGATGGACCAATGGAACATTCTTGCAAGCTCTTAGGGGTAGTGGAACATAACAGCTGGCTCAGGATCCCAAGGACCAAGTTTCAACATCTGATACAAATTATGAATGAAATTGTGAATCTTTGCTCCTGAGGGCAGGGCTAGTGCCAGGCCCAATGCTGAAGACAGGGCTGAGGGAGGCGTCCTGGCAGAAAGCATCTGTTGATAACCTGCCATTCTCTGCAGCAAGGGATCTGTCCCTGGCTGTGGGGATCTGGGACAGTGGATCGGTCGGTGCCCTCAAAAGTCCTGTGGTGCATCCCAGCCTGGCAGAACCCCATCTTGGCTGAAAACCCCAACAGTCCTGAAACATCAGGCTAGCTATAGAGCTGTGTAAGCCTGTCTCTCCAATGAGGCTGGAAGGAAGCTAAGGAAATATACCTACAGTTTGAGGAGAGGCATCCCCTCCCTTTCAACTCTTCTTTCTTCAAAGTGGATGCTATGCAAGACTTCCTGTGGGGCAAGGCCTTGGACTGGGCCCCAAGATACAGGAGGCACACAGCGTTCAGTCCACCCAGGGCACCTGCAGTGTTGCACCCTCCCCCCAAAGGCTGGCAGTCTGGTGATAGAAGGTGCTCTCTGCACCCTTGAAGGGGGTTCCTATTCCTGGCCCAACCAGGCCTGTGTCCTATTTGGGGAAGTTGGGCTCTGAGAGTAGGCAAATCTGAATTGTTCCTGCCCACTGCCTCTAGCAAAGCACTTGGCCCAGCTGCTTAGGCCACTCTGAGTGATGTCCAACAAGAAAAGCCACCAACACATGCCTACTTGGCCCTTCCTGGCTGAACAATGCAGCCAGTAGGAAGAGCTGCAGGAATCTGCCTGACAACACGGCAGCTTACATTGGGATCCCAGCTCCCAGAAGAGTGCAGCCCAGACAGAGAGGCACTGGGCTTGAGAAGGCCAAGCTGCCAGGAAAGAAGAATCCATTCAGGGAAAAACAGAAATGTAAGAAACAGTGGTGGGATTTACCACAGTTTATTGCTGTGACTTCCACTGGAAGCTGTTAACAAGCCCCATGACAGCCAAGGGCCAGGTATGCACCTAGATCAGCTGGATGCTTGTGCCTTGATCCACAAAACTTGCTGCTCAGTCAACGGCAGGCTTTCTGGCAAATTGGCTAAAACCCAACAGGGAGAATGATACTACTGCAGATCATTTCTACCTCCCCAAATCCCATATCTTACATAATAAAGGGAAATGCCATAAGCAGTCCTCCAAAGGAAAACCTGCCCTGGTCCCTCATGTCTCACTGAGGAGCCAGGGAGTGCCCCACGGCTCTGCAGCAAGCCAGAAACCCAGCACCAGGGAGGCACCAGTCCATCGCTTGCTGTTCCAGAGAGACCCCAGCCCCAATGGCACACTCAGCCCTGCACTGCAGGAAGACTGAGGCAGGGGTGCCAAGCTTGAGGAGCCGAAGGTTTCCAATGTGAGCTGCAGTTAGTCCTGCTGGACATGGCAGAACCCCCACAGCTGTGGCCCTCACAGACTCTTCTGGAAGACCCGGTGCAGGCTCTGGGCCAGGACATCTGTCTCCTCATAGCCCTCACAACTTTGCTGCCAGCTCTCTGGCACCTGACCCATCCCATAGTAGGCACCAGCAATGGCCCCAGCCATGGTGGCAATGGTGTCTGTGTCCCCACCAAGTGAGATGGAATAGATGAGAGTCCTTTGGAGGCTATTGAAGGTAGAGGGGATCTCAGGATCGGGCTCCATGCAGCGCAGGAAGCAGTAGATGGCAGTGGGCACAGATTCGAAGGCAGCGATGCCATTCCCTACAGAGAAGCCAGATTATAGGAACTGGGCCTGCCCCCATGCCCCCAGTCAACACTTCCAGCTTCAAGCGGGGCTGCCGTTAGGATCACAGGCTCTAGAGTTAGACTGCTGGGGTTCAATTCTGGCCCCACCACATACTGGCAGCGTGACTGGGAAAGTTACCTCATCGCTATGATTCCTTAGTGTAGAGGGAATAAGGTTAGGAATCTCTCACAGGCTGCTGTGAGGCTGAGGGGACATCATGTCTGTAAAGCACTCTGCACAGTACCCACGGTAAAGTGCTAGGTAAACATCTGTTACCAACATTAGCTGTATACACTGGGGGCCAGTTGCCATTTCTGGGGACACTGATCTGCAAGGCTGAAGGTGCTGCAGCTCTAGAACAAGAAGGCGCAGAGCTCACAACCCTGCCAAAGACCCTACAGAGCGCAGCTCTAGCTGTCACAGCAGCCCGAGGCAAAGATGTGAAGGTGGGCATGATCCCAAGCTCCCCTCTCCTCCCTGAAGGACTCTGGGTTTGGGGGGACAAATCACAGCTGAGTCCACCCACCTAGTTCAGACACCACTTCCTCTCTGGTCACTGAGTCCTGATCCAGAAGCTCTGCAATCTTCTTCAGTCGGCTGCAGTATGGACGCTCCTCCATGCCCAACCTGGCGTGGGGGAGAGATTATAGGGAGGTCAGAGCCAGCAGGGATGTGGTCACGTTGACACTCAGGGAGGGGGCTAGGTGTGAGCGAGTTGTTTTGTTCTCTGGGTCCCTGAGAACCTTGAAACACAGACAAGGCAACGGGCCTTCTTCCTGTCCCTCTGCCATAAGGAAGGAAGATTCAGCTCTGTGGCAATGTCAGAGGCTTCCTCGCCCCCACCCCCACCCTCACACACACTCAGACACACCTTCAGCCCATACTCACTCCCTGGCATCCAAGACAGACTGAGCATCACCCTCCAGCTCCTCCATGTGGCCCAGGAGTTGCTCGAGGAAGTGCTCACTGGAAGACTCGCCCTGCAAAGCCAGGTACACAGCCAGGGCCTGCAGGATGGCACCATTGTAACCCAGGGAGGAGGCGTGTGTCAGCTGGGCCGAGAGCCGGGCAAACTAGGGAGAGGAAGACCTGCTGTCACAGGACCCAGGCTATGGAAGTGGGAGGAGAAAGTACAGAAGCCACCCATGTTGAATACCTTCTGCACATCTTGGACACTGCTATAGGCCAGGGAGATGCCAGCTACCCGCATGGCACCCCCATTGCCATAGGACCCTTTCCCATTAAACTGAGCCCGGGCAGGCTCATATACATCGCGACACTTAGGGCTCAGGAGCTTCTTGAAGACGGTGACTACTCCAGCACCATAACCCCTGTCGGGGTCTTTCTTGTACTCTTGAGCAAACCTAGGGAAGAGAAGAGAGACAGAGTTGGGATGGGATGCCACTCAGGGTTGGGAGGGAAGAAATCTTGGCTGGTTTGGAAAAAGAGGAAACCTTGGGGACCTAAGGAGCCTGTATCAGCAGTGCTGTCATTTCTAGCTTGGGAAGCTGCATCAGCCCTAGAAACAGGGTACTGCAGAGGGTGGGGGTCCCAGCATGCCCAGACATCATTCCTCTGGTCAAGGGGTGCGATAACTCTGCCCACCTGGTTTACCTCATCCCAAGACCATCCACCATCCCCTCACCTGTGAGCCATGTCCACCTCATCGAAGGCCTCCTTGGCCAGCAGGGACTGCACCAGGGTCCTGGCCATGGCTGTGTCATCTGTGTAGTACAGTGCTTCTGTGGGGAAAGGAGGGGCTGTGTCATCTGTGTAGTACAGTGCTTCTGTGGGGGAGAGCACGCTGCAGGGCTCTAGGGAGAAGGCCTCCCACTCATTCCTTTAGAGTTCCCACATCTAAAGTGACTTTAAATCAGCCTCTCACGCTCCTCCAGTTTCCTGGGCTCTAAAAGCCTAGGATTTCAGCCTTGGGATTTTCAGCAATTTTTTATTCAAGTCAGTCACCATATCCTGCTGATTCCTGAAGGAAAACCTTCCATCTCCTTCTGGCTGCTGTCACTGAGCTCCAATCTTAATACGATCTGCTGGGACTATAGGCAGAGCTGCTCAAATCTCCTGCACATCCCCACCCTCCAACTCAGCCTATATGTGCTGCCAGAAAAACCCTCCTGAGAGCAGACAACCACTTTCCTCATCTCACTCTCCTGCTCAAAATGGCTAGCTGTTGCCTTCAGGATGAGATCAAAATAAATGGCCTTTACATTCAAAACCTTTCCCAGTCTAGCCCCTTCCTTCCTCACCCATCTTATATCCCACTGCTCCCTTACACATGCTCAGAACCAATCTTGGAGCTTGGGTCAAGTCCTTCCCAGCCAGGCTGCTCCCCTCCCTCCACTCCGCCACACCTCCATCCCCTCTGAGTGCCTGTGAATACAGCTCTGGCACAGCATTAGTGGTTATTTTGTGACTTCTCACCCCGTCCTGGGTATATCCCAAGCCCCAAACCCCACTTCTCCTTTCCCTTTTCACTCTTAGGTGGCCCTTACCTCCTACTTCACTAGGAGAGGTAGCTAACAGGTATCTCATCCACAGCTGCACTCTCCAGTCTCCCCCAGAGGGAGTTAGTCTCTCGGTCAAAGGTGAAGTCCACCCCCAGTCCACTTCCCAGGGGACCTTGTTCTTACCTTGTCCCTTCTCTCCTGTACCCTCAACCTCTCCCTCTGTGGTGGTACAGCATCTATGCTCTCTCCATTTGGTCACTGCACCCTGATTTTCCCCAGAGAACCACTGTTCTCCACTCTTGATCCAGGTGACTAGGGCATGGAGTTAACCCCACCTCTAGCCTAATTAAACAGCATACCACATTCCCATAGGGATGGACATATGACCTAAGCCAGGCCCATGAGAACCAGGTGGGGGCTTTGGTTGGGACTGCTGCAAAGAGAAACTTCCTCTGCTGGAGGTGCTGAACCAGGAGCTGCTGGGAAGGGTCTGCCACAGTGAGTGAAGTCCCTCCAGAAGAAAACAGGTCTGAACATGCAGAGAGGAATTTGAGCTTTGTGCAGATGGTCTGAACCCCTAGATTCAGCTCTGCTTGAAGCCAGACCTCCCTCTGGACTTTCCAGTTACATCGGCCAATACACTCCCTTGTTGCTTAGGGCATTTTGAGTTGGTTTTTTGTCACTCTCATCCAAAGGGTCCTAAAACACCTCTCAACCTAAAACATGCTTTTTCCTCATCATAACATCAAACCAAAAATGAAATAAAAAACCATCCTTCCATCTTGTCTTCACCTCGACTACAGCTCATCTCTCTCCTTCCCATCATACCAAACCATACTATTTTCTCATTTCCCATTTCCTCCTTAACTCACTGAATATGCCTTTCTAAGTCCAGTCTTCCCCCTAAACTCTGTAGCACGACACGAGTGACCAGCGTCATCTTGAAATTCTTTTCTGGGTTTTTGTCGATACCCGCTCCTGCCTGTCTTCCTAACAGTTTCCTTCTCTAGCTCCCTTCCTTTTTCCTGTATCTCCCTCGTAAAGACGGGTGTTCTCCGGGGTTCTGAATATGGCCCTTTTTTCTTACTATTCTACAAGCTCTCCAAGAAGAATCACGTGCTCTGCTTGACCTCAGACCTGATACCTGAGCTGAGATCTGGGTGATGAGCTGACTACACAAAGGAAGGAAAGGGGAACGGGAGGTAGCTTTACAGGCAAGGGACGGCACGTGCACACACGTGGGCCAAAAAGGACACGTTAAGGACCTACGAGCAATGGAGAATCACTGCAGGGCTCTCTGCGCGGGAGGACGCGGGAGGATTTATGCTTTGGGAAGAGCACGCACGCCGTGAGCAGAGTGCGCTGGTGGCGCGCTGCTTCGCGGGAAGCGGTGAAACAGGGCCCGCCGGCAGGGCGTGTGTGCCGGGCTGGGCGCGGTGCACGAAGATGACGCCCAGGTCATCACGGTGGGGACCACGGTGTTGCCATGCCCCACGTGGGAGATGCTAGGGCGAGACGTGTGAGGACGGAGCTCGGACTGGCGCGCGGAGGCCGAGATGTCCCCGCGGCAGCCGCATCTCCACACACCGCGGAGCCCCTTTTCCCGTCTGCCACTCCCCCCGACCCCGGCCGCGGCCCCCCTGGCTCCCAAAGGTCCCCGCCGCCAAGGCGCGCCCACGTTCGCCGGCCCCGCCCACCTGTCCGCGCGCTCCCGGG